TCAGCAGTTCATTGTGCTTTCCTCTCCAACCTTCTGCTGAAGCAAGGTGAAGATGATGGATTAGCTTAGGTGAGCATAAAACAGAGGAAAATACACACATTTCCCATAAGTGCTTTAAATTAATAAGAACCCTGGATGGACAAAAGGCAGATAGCAAGGGATGTGTAGAAAGTGAACTTGGAAAGCAAGGAGGTGAACTTTCTTGCAAATGGTGATCACATTAGGAAAATGAAGAAGAAAAAAATTTGGGTGTGTGTGTTTTAGTCCATTTTATGTGGCAATAACAGAACACCACAGACTGGGTAATTTATTAGGGAAAAATATTTTTTACGGTTGTGCAAATGAAGTCCAATATTGAGAAGCCCACATCTGGCAAGGGCTTTCATACTGTCATTCCATGGTGGAAGGCAGAAGGACAAGAGAGCTCAAGAAAGCAAGAGCAAAAGTAAGAGGGAACCAAAACGAACCCACCTTCTTGATAACTAACCCAGTCTCTTGATAATGGAATTAATTCTTTCCTATACTGGGAATTACGTTTCCAATACATGAACTATGGGGACACATTGAAACCACAGTAGGAGAGAAGGAATCCTTAATGGTTTTCCTTCCTACTTTTATTCTTTAATCCATATTCTCATCAGCACACACAATTTTTATGCCATTTTTTCTTTCCTTTGACATATTCATCACCTTCTTTTCTTTTATTTATTTTTTTAGTATTCATATGTGCATACAATGCTTAGGTCATTTCTCCCCCCTGCCCCCACCCCCTTCCTTACCACCCACTCCGCCCCCTCCCTCTCCCCCCCACCCCCTTGATACCAGGCAGAAACTATTTTACCCTTATCTCTAATTTTGTTGTAGAGAGAGTATAAGCAATAATAGGAAGGAACAAGGGTTTTTGCTGGTTGAGATAAGGATAGCTATACAGGGAATTGACTCAGATTAATTTCCTGTGCGTGTGTGTTACCTTCTAGGTTAATTCTTTTTGATCTAACCTTTTCTCTAGTACCTGTTCCCCTTTTCCTATTGGCCTCAGTTGCTTTTAAGGTATCTGCTTTAGTTTCTCTGCATTGAAGGCAACAAATACTATCTAGTTTTTTAGGTGTCTTACCTATCCTCACCTCTCCCTTGTGAGCACTCACTTTTATCTTGTGATCAAAGTTCAATCCCTTGTTGTGTTTGCCCTTGATCTAACGTCTGCATATGAGGGAGAACATATGATTTTTGGTCTTTTGGGCCAGGCTAACCTCACTCAGAATGATGTTCTCCAATTCCATCCATTTATCAGTGAATGATAACATTTCGTTCTTCTTCATGGCTGCATAAAATTCCATTGTGTATAGATACCACATTTTCTTAATCCACTCGTCAGTGGTGGGGCATCTTGGCTGTTTCCATAACTTGGCTATTGTGAATAGTGCCGCAATAAACATGGGTGTGCAGGTGCCTCTGGAGTAACCTGTGTCACAGTCTTTTGGGTATATCCCCAAGAGTGGTATTGCTGGATCAAATGGTAGATCAATGTTTAGCTTTTTAAGTAGCCTCCAAATTTTTTTCCAGAGTGGTTGTACTAGTTTACATTCCCACCAACAGTGCAAGAGGGTTCCTTTTTCCCCGCATCCTTGCCAACACCTGTTGTTGGTGGTGTTGCTAATGATGGCTATTCTAACAGGGGTGAGGTGGAATCTTAGTGTGGTTTTAATTTGCATTTCCTTTATTGCTAGAGATGGTGAACATTTTTTCATGTGTTTTTTGGCCATTTGAATTTCTTCTTTTGAGAAAGTTCTGTTTAGTTCACTTGCCCATTTCTTTATTGGTTCATTAGTTTTGGGAGAATTTAGTTTTTTAAGTTCCCTATATATTCTGGTTATCAGTCCTTTGTCTGATGTGTAGCTGGCAAATATTTTCTCCCACTCTGTGGGTGGTCTCTTCAGTTTAGAGACCATTTCTTTTGATGAGCAGAAGCTTTTGAGTTTTATGAGGTCCCATTTATCTATGCTATCTCTTAGTTGCTGTGCTGCTGGGGTTTCGTTGAGAAAGTTCTTACCTATACCTACTAACTCCAGAGTATTTCCTACTCTTTCCTGTATCAGCTTTAGAGTTTGTGGTCTGATATTGAGATCCTTGATCCATTTTGAGTTAATATTGGTATAGGGTGATATACATGGATCTAGTTTCAGTTTTTTGCAGACTGCTAACCAGTTTTCCCAGCAGTTTTTGTTGAAGAGGCTGCAATTTCTCCATCGTATATTTTTAGCACCTTTGTCAAAGACAAGTTGGTTATAGCTGTGTGGCTTCATATCTGGGTCCTCTATTCTGTTCCACTGGTCTTAATGTCTGTTTTTGTGCCAGTACCATGCTGTTTTTATTGTTATTGCTTTGTAATATAGTTTGAAGTCGGGTATTGTGATACCTCCAGCATTGTTCTTTTGACTGAGTATTGCCTTGGCTATTCGTGGCCTCTTGTGTTTCCATATAAATTTCACGGTAGATTTTTTCAATCTCTTTAATGAATGTCATTGGAATTTTGATGGGAATTGCATTAAACATGTAGATTACTTTTGGGAGTATAGACATTTTTACTATGTTGATTCTATCAATCCATGAGCATGGGCGATCTCTCCACTTTCTATAGTCTTCCTCAATCTCTTTCTTCAGAAGTGTATAGTTTTCCTTGTAGAGGTCTTTCACATCTTTTGTTAGGTTTACACCTAGGTATTTGATTTTTTTGAGGCTATTGTAAATGGAATTGTTTTCATACATTCTTTTTCAGTTTGTTCATTATTAGTGTATAGAAATGCTAATGATTTTTCTATGTTGATTTTATATCCTGCTACCTTGCTGTAGCTATTGATGGTGTGTAGGAGCTTCTGAGTAGAGTTGTTTGGGTCTTTAAGGTATAGGATCATGTCGTCTGCAAATAGGGATATTTTGACAGTTTCTTTACCTATTTGTATTTCTTTTATTCCTTCTTCTTGCCTAATTGGTCTGGCTAGGAATTCCAGTACTATGTTGAATAGGAGTGGAGATAGTGGGCATCCTTGTCTGGTTCCTGAGTTTAGAGGGAATGGTTTCAGTTTTTCTCTGTTAAGTATAATGTTGGCTGTAGGTTTGTCATATACAGCTTTTATAATTTTGAGGTACTTTCCTTCTATTCCTAGTTTTCTTAGAGCTTTTATCATGAAATGGTGTTGGATCTTATCAAAGGCTTCTGCATCTATTGAGATGATCAAGTGGTTTTTGTCTTTGCTTCTGTTAATGTGGTTTATTACATTTATTGATTTTCATATGTTGAACCACCCCTGCATTCCTGGGATGAAGCTTACTTGGTCATGGTGAATAATCTTTTTGATGTGTTGTTGAATCATTACCTTATTTTCATATTGTACCATAAACCTTGGTACACACAAACTTTTAAAGCAACTATTTTTAATGCAAGATAACACGCCAAGCTTTGAACCCTCCACTGAAATTGGCTGGGAACATCTGGCACTAAAAGACTTACATTTTCTCCCTATAGAAAAGCCTCTAACCATTTACTCTCTTAAAAAGTAACACAGGAATGAAAGTGGGTTGACATTTTGAAAACAAGAAAGCAATAACCCCCCTAAAAACATTTTTTTTCTCATTTCAAGTAAAAAGCTTTAAAAATTGATCATTTGATGTTGTGGCATTTGTAGCAATTGATTATTTTTATAAAATTTACATAATCAATTCTGACTACATATACATGCCAGTTAACTAATTTACTAATTTTTCCTTACAGGAATAGAAAAGAAAATGAAATGTATTATTTTCTAAAAATACAAATATTATTGGGCTCGTGGCGTGACACAAGTGCCTGCCAAGCAAGTGTAAGGCCCTGAGTTCAAACCCCAGTATCACCAAATACTATTATTACCAATAATAATAATAACTTAATTTTATATGTCTTTTAGGGAAAATGGAGCATTTTAATTTCTTTTTCTTAATAACTAAAAAATGAATATTCTAGTATCATCAATATAACAACTTGGTTTAGATGCTGCTCCAGGAAGCCCTTGGGAATCCTTTGAAGGGGCAGGAGTACTGTCGGGGTAGACATTTTTAGAAGGAGTGACTAAGCTTTGACTATCCCATAGCTCTGTGGTGAGGGACGGCATCATTTATTGTGTAATGGTCATTTGTGGATAGCATCACAATTCTCTTGCACACAGTATTTATTGATCAAAAAACCACTTATTTGAGATATGTGCATGGATGTGAGATTTATGTATGTTGTCTGTTTTGATGGTTTATCTGTCAATATCCATAATCTGTTTAGGGATGAATGTATTCCATTATCTGAAATAAGATTGGTTTATCATCTCAAATAAAAGAAAAGAAAGAAAGCTGAGTTTGGAATGTTAGTATGATTCCTTAATTCCTACTCATAGTAAAATATGGATTAAGGACCATCCTTACAGTGCTCAGCTGACTGATGGAGGCCATCTTTTCTCTGCCCATGTTTCCCCATTGTCTGGTGAGTTTTTCTAGTACTAGTGCAGAGACCTGACTTGTTTGGAAGAGAGAGAAAGCACAACCCATAACACGTGCCCTCTAGGTGTCTATCTGTGTGTAGCCCTCACACAGATAATCTAGTAGTCAAAGTTGAAAGCAGAATTAGTCTTCTTCATCTACAGATAAGGGAACTGATGATTGGGCAGGTGAAGGCCTAGCCCATGGCCAGGTTGTTCGTGGCTAAGACTTGTACCCAGATCTCCTAATTCCCAAATAACTCTCTCTACCAATCATGAGTGCAAATACTAATTACTTACAGGTGTGTATTAACCTGTCCTTCCCCTCAGGAAGGCTCAGATTTCTTAAACAGCATCTGGATTGTTTCAAGCTTTTCATTTACATTTGCTTTAGCGAGGAGGATGAATCTGTGGTTTAGGACCTGTTGAGATTATTTGTGGCCTGAAGTGATGCGTGCAGCATCACCTGGTTTCTGGATTCAGAACATTAAGTTCACTCACCCATACTGAACAACTCCCATCAGAGGACCGGCAGGGCCAATGTCAAGAGCTTCAGCGACATCAGTCAAGAACTGCTTCTGGATTCGGAATCGACGTTTGCCAATACTGGAGCTCCCATCAATTAAAAATGACAAGTCAACTTTGCAGTCTGAAGAATGGAAAAAAAAAACCAAACAAACAAAACACCTCTATTATCCTGGATAGATCTCATTGCTTGTACCTGGGCAACTTATTCCTCTCTTTCTCCGCTAGTCCCTGAGATTCCGATGAAAAGATACTAAAAAAGAGGAGCAGGGTGTATTTATCTATTGATCACTCAACGGAGTTTCCCTGAGCACCAAGGACCTGGACAGTTGTGCTTGGTCTTGTTTCCTTACCCATTTTAGAATTGTATGGATCAGTAACAATTGTAGGTGTCAGAAGCCAACTGGGGAAGACCCTCAGAACAGATTCCCAAGCTTGGACCATAGAGGTGTAGACTCCCAGGTGTGGGAATTCTCCAAGCCTGAGTCTTAAGAACTTGTGGCCTTTTACTTTCATCCTTTCTAGAAATATATGTTGGATCTTTGTGAAGGTGTGAAAACAGGCAAGGTCAGCACTGAAGGGAGAACAAGGAGTTACAGAATAAGAAATTGGTACTGATCCTCCTCACTTACCTCAGCAAGGCAACCAAAAAAAAGTCCACATGTGTCTATGTGATATCAGCACTTGTTTGTGACTATATTAGGTTCTTTCTTTCTTCCTTTCTTTCTTTTTCTTTTTGGTTGGTTGTTCTGGCTTAGAGTCTCTTGGAAGGTAATAGTCTTCCCTTGTCTATAGGGGATACATTCCAAGACCCAAAGAAAATGCTTGAAACCACAGACAGAACCAAACTCTCTATATACATTATATATCACCTGTACTATGTATATATATTATATATTGTTCTTTCTCTCTCTATATATATACCTAAGATAAAGTTAATTTATAAATTAGACACAGTAAGAAATTAACAATAATAACTAATAACAAAGTAGAATAATTATAACAATATAATGAAATGAAAGTTATTTATCATTCATGAATTGTTAATTTCTGGAATTTTCCATTTAATATTTTAATGATTGACTATATGTAACTGAGACTGTAGAGAACAAACCACACGTAAGGAAGGACTACTATGTAAGAAGTTTATGACAGAGGTAGATGGGATGGGGCTGCAAGCCATTTTCATCCTTTTAAATGCTAGTAAGAATTAGTGAAATGTCACACAGGCTAACAGAAATTAGTATATTCTTTACTCTTGACTACAATGGTATTAGCTCAGTTTGATAAAACTGATTCAATGCTGATTAGAGGTTCTTATGGGAGATATATATCCTTATGATTAATAAAAAACAAAGAATGAATTATGAATAATTGTACTTTGAAGGACAAGAATATTTCAAAATAGAGTTCCATGGAAAATAAAAGAGTATCCAAGACACCGGGGCCAGCCCTGCTCTTGTAGGGGTGTGGGAACAGCTGCCCACACCTCCCACTCCTCCCTTAACTGAGCAAGAGCTCCATGTTTTCTGTGCCTCACTTCCCTGGGACTGGAGTCTGCTCATTTTTCAGGATGGTGTAGTTTTAAATGAAAATAATAAATGGACATGAATTGACAAAGTTTTAAGCAGGAGAAATGATGAGAAATATTTATTGATGAGGGATACTACAGAATTGATGGACGAAAGAGAAAAGTTGTATCTGAGAATGTGCCTTCATTATCTTGTAGCAGTACATGGCAATCAAAACCAGAGGAGATGGTTTTGGGAAGGTGATGACAGGGACCTCTCTGGGTCTATCTGCCTCTGCTCCATCTGGAAGCAGGGCATCGGTTTGTGCCTCTGCTCATTAGTGGATCTCAAAGCTTTTACCTCTGATTTGCCAGCACAGGAGGTTAAGGGCCTACCAATCCTTCCTGTTCTGCTGCCTTCCCATGTCTTTTGCTTCCTCCAAACTGCCTACATCAAAGCATTACCCCCTTGATGAAAGTTGGAAGAATCAAATAAAACCCAGAAGTAGCGTTTAAAGATGCCCTACAGCCTGGGATAAAGGAGACGATGGGCAGAACTGATGTATGGCTTCTCTTGTGTATGTTTCCCAAACAGGTTCAACTGTTTTTCCTCGGTCTGGCCTTGCAATGTGAACGATTACCAGCAGGTGGTAGTAATGGTCTTCAGGGCTTGCCGCCCACCACCACCTACAGCTTGCTGGAAATGCGGACTCTCAGGATCCACTCATACCTACAGAATCTAATCTGCACTTTAATAAGATTCCCAAGTGATTCGCGTGCCCAGTGGAGTTGAGAAGCACTCCCCAAAAGGGCTTTTTCTTCCAGGTTTCAGCACATTAGTTCAATATGTTTTTTAAAATAACTAAAAAAAAAAAATTGTTAGAGTAAGGGCTGAAGGGGATTTTCTTCTATTCGTTTATTTTGAATAAGAAAAGGACATGGATCTGGTAGTATCTACTGGTTCCTCATGGATAGTTTTTCCTTATTTTTACATCTTAAACTGTGACCAGGAATGACATGTTCACTTCTTAACTAGGTGTTATGAAAGCGAGGTGTTTCTCTGGTTGCTTAGTTCACTTTCCTCACTGGCTGAGTAAAGTATCTTTACTCCCCTTTCCCAGAATGTTTAAGGACAGTGGCTCCATCTCATGATATATCCTGGCTAAGACCCCATGACTTTCTCACACTGACACGAAAACATGCTGGTCTGAAGACAACGCCAATACTAATGGGTAGAATTGGGTTGTGAACTTTTCAGTATGAGTGAATTACTATGGTAACTGAATACAGGTTGGATGATGAGGAAGAAAAGTTAAGATGCAGTGTTCCAGGAATCATTCTACAGTGCAATTCTACAGAGTACAACTCTATAGAATAATGGTTTTTATTGTCCAATGTATCAGGTCAGTGTTTCTTAACTCTGGATACATATCAGGATTTCTTATGCAATTTCCACAAATAAAGATGCCTAGGAATCAATCACTCTTGATAGTGCACCTCAAGGGTTGGTAAGCAAAGGAATCACCTGTAGAATCATAGGTTTGGGATTAGAGTCTGAGATTCTACATTTTTAATAAGCTCCTAGAGGATGCTGATGCTGGTGGTCCCCAGACCACACTTGGAGTAGCAAGGTTTAGGGAAGAGTCTGGTATAGTAGGTGTGAGACAGAAGGTCAGCATCTTTGATTTTAAAAAGTATTCAGATGACTGTTACATGCAGCAGAGTTGAGGCTCACAGCCTGTTAGTGGCTGACCGGTAGCAGCTTTTTAGGGGAATTTGCAAATGTTTTCTTTTAGTAACTTGCAGAACAAGGCACCTTTCTGGTCTCTCTCTCTCTCTCTCTCTCTCTCTCTCTGGTCCTTTCTGGTATTCTCTGGCGGCTTCATCTCCACCTAGGGTGATTCCTCAGGTTTAAGTCCTCTATTTCTTCTTATTCCATTGTATCTTCTATGTCACATTGTATGGTTCTCATAGTCTCAGTTTTGAGCCATAGTTCATTGTCTTCCAACTCTAAAAATTATTATTTTATTCTGCTATATTTTGATACCCAGTTAACATTCTTTTTTTTTAATTTGTGAAAGAAGGACAGAATACTGTGTGAGAACCTGGTTCCCTTAGCTCTTGTGAAGGTAGGTTGGTCTGTGTGTATTGCTGTTCTGCTTGGTGTGTTGTGGGGAGATGATTGCTGGAGGATCTTAACTACCATCTTGCATCTTCTCAACTCTAAATTTCTGACTGGACTGTTCAATCTGAATATCAGGTCTGAGCAGTTATCTTTCTCTTAGACCCGATGTCTCACAGAAGATGATAAACGATCTCCCTGCCCTCAAATCTGCTCCAAACTCTGCTCCTCATTGCCATGCTACCCAGTTGCTAAAATCCCTTTTACTTTTCCCTCTCTTATATCTCCACCCCAAGCCTATAGATTTTTCCTTCTCTATATCTCTTGAATATACATATTTCTCTCAATTTCCACTTCCAACTCCAAGCTCTGGCTACCATCACCTCTATGGTATCACAGGCTGACCAGCCTGTCTATTCCTTTCATCCACCCTCATCTCTCCATTCCTTCCTATTCTTCACCCTGTTGCCATAGTGATATTAAAAAAAAACCCAGTCCTCTCCCCCTCATGCACATAGCTAAAATTTTCCAGAAGCTTCCCTTTCTGCTTAGAACAAAGTGACAGAAGAGAGGAGATAAATAGATCCCTGGTAGGAGAGAGTCAGGTTTGGGTGGGAGTGAGTGGGTAGAGAAGAAAGACAGATCAGATGTCAAAACCACCATGAGTTTCTAGTTGTCAATTAACTTACTTGGATCACCCCGGGACACTGGCTCCAAAGACTGTGTGCTTAATTCTTCTTTTGGAACGAATCCTGGAAAGAGCAGTAAAACTTTTGGTGACTTGTAAGCACAGGAAGCATCTGGCCTTACCCCCAGGGAAGGGGATATAGTGATATTCACACCCAGCTCAAGGGCTTGGCTTATAGCTAACTCTTCTCCACCCCACCCCCATCTGAGAAAAAACATAAGAATAAATGAAAATGTGCTCATAGCCAACTAACTATAGTACTCTGTTAGGTGCTCATGGAGGATTTGAAATCAGATTTGACTTCTGCTTTTATTTTATCTGAGTCTTAGTTTCCTTATCTGAAAGCATTAAGAATTTTGCCAGTGTAAATTGTCTTCTGTAAAATTCTGAAAATCTTGAAGTCAGCAAATGTGTCTAGCTCCTATAAACCTTTATTGTGCCCAGTCAACATCTGGCGACTGAGGCAATGAATGAAGATGAGTGAGACACTTGGAGGACAGGATGTAGCTCAGAGGGGAAGAGCTCAGGCAAAAGTAACTCAAATAAGAAAGAGACTGGAGAATGCAACCTCTCCCCAGGCAGTTTGAAATTAGAGGCAAACATTTGAAAATGTGCTAGAAGGTGGTGTGTGAGGTGAGTCTGGCAGGGGTGGGGATGGTTCTGTAGTCACTTACCACGGAGCTAAGTTCACAGATATGCCATTTAAGGAAATAAATACAATAAATGAGAATTCTTTTTAAGCTGGGTAAGACCAATGGAGTTTTCAGGCAGAGCAAAAGTGTAGCACTGGAAGTAGATCTCCTAGTTTCCAGGATGCTGGAAGTTCCAGAAGTTTTGGGTGTGGAGGAAGGTGCTGCTCCTAGCTCAGTGAGCTTTCTGTTGGCATGTTACTTTTTCCAGTTTGCAAAGCATATGATATCATCTTCCCATTAAAGGTCAGCTAGCTCACCCCACTTTCTCACGTCATTGAAAAAATTTGCTTTGGGTGTTCAATAGCATTTCTCAGCCAGAAGCCTCTCAGGGAAATGCCCCCAAAGCTCTAGTTGAAGAGAGGGGGAGAAAAACAAGTTCAGGAGTCGAGTTCTCTTCACCACCCTCTTCCTTCAGGAAGGAAGGCTTTGTTTGTTGGAGTTTCAAACAGTTAATGCAGTGTGAGTTAATGCATTCATGTGAGGGGAAAATCTGAGTACCATCTTGAAAGGAAGGAAAGGGAAATAGAGAACAGCAAAGTGTGCTGCCAGATGGAGAGTCTGAACCCACTTTTAGGGAGGAGAACTAACTCCCTTCTGGTGTTTTGCCTTCATGTTCTTTTCTCCCTTTTGTAGGAAAGTCTCAGTGTGCCCTTTGCAGGACCAGAATGTCCCAGTAGGAAGCCCAGAGGCTGCTCTGATACCTGCTGGATTATTAGACGCTACTAATTCTAGAACCCTGTGCATCTCGATCAAGCCACTGCTGAGAGAGTGGACTGTATAATTCGCTGCGTCTAAAAGAACTGATGCAGCCTTCCGCAAGTCCGTTTTTCCTAATTTTCAAAATTAAAAAGAAACAAGTTTGTTACTTAAACCAAAACCTGCAGAAGCTCTCAAGTGAACTGCCAGGGTGATGTTTCCAGATTGTGGCAGAAAGTTGAGTAAAAGGGATATGGGACCAGAATTTTGGATGAAGCAACTTGGAATCTGTGTGGGGTTCTCAGTCTAAAACTCTTAAAGCCAAAGAGCTTTGCCTGGTTCTTTCTTTCACTCTGCACCAAGAATCATGGGATCATAAGAATCCTAGGATTCCTAAAAATTTCATCTAGTCCAAAGTACCTTGTGACCTGCTGGCTTCTACAACATGCCAGCCAAGTGATGCTTGAATAGCTCCCGAAACAGGGAATTCATTACATATCCAACCAAAGTAGAATGCACATTCGTTCTTGTTCTTTCTTGGATTATTGAGACTATAAGAAAAATTTTCTTTGGAGGGATCTGAAATCCTTTGATATAAATTTTTATCCATCTACCCATTCACCCACCCACCACCTACCCACTCATCCATACTTATTAAGCATTTATATGTGCGTAACATTATTCTAGGTATAGTTTCTCACCTATTTTTTTTTTTTAATATCTTCCTTGGAACTATACAGAAAAAACTGGTCCTTTCAGGGAGCAGGAAGTCCACTCATTTCCTGGGGTCCTGCTTCTTGCTGTATGTTTCAAGCAAAGTAAGGCAACATGGCAGCTGGAGTGTACATGCAGGAAGGTATTTTAACACGCTGATGAAGTGGAAAGGATGGTGGGAGGGGGAGATTCTTACCCAATAATTTCTGATGTCTTTTGGAGAATCACAGCAAGAAGGGACTCATAACACAAAAATGGCTTTTTTCCTTTTTCTCTGCCTCCCTGCCTCTTCCCACCTCTCAGAGGCTGAGAACAAGACCAATTGTTTCATTTCCTAAAGGCTATGGGATTGCTGCTGGATGGAATTATTAACCTACTTAAAAGAAATGACATTTTTCTGTATGTGATTAAGACATTAGGCAATTTTAAAAAGCAACTCATGCTCTCAGACATCCTGATTTAATGGAGAGAACTGAATTTAACTTGACTTATCCGTTTACTGAAGTATGTGACCTTGAGCAAGTTATGTACCCTGTGTGAACCTTTTTTTTTTTTTTTTGGTGGTGATGGTTGTGGAACTGGGGTTTGAACTCAGGGCCTCACGCTTGCTAGGCGAGCGCTCTACTACTTGAGCTACTCCATCAGCAAACCTTAACTTCTTAGTAAATGACTTGATAGTTTGGGTGTGACGGTCTTCATGTTCAAAATATTGATGACTTATCATTAAACTTTCTTCTTCTCTAGACTTATTACTTTATTGCCACCTACTGGTAGAAGTAAGCACTTTGCTCTTTTCCTAAAAATGGTGCTGGTGGCTTATCTCAGTTTTTGCCCAAAGCTTCTCCCCACCTACTCCAAATACCCTTGAATATCATGAAGGTTATTATTAGGTAGGAGATAAACAATCCCCTGACATCAGGGACTTCCAAGCCTCTTATTTCTGTCCTATTGACATCACTTTCATCTGGTTTGAATCAATTCACATCATCTAAAAGCTGAGAGGTGAAAAATATTTGAACCGCCGAGACTTGGTATTTTTTGGACTTGGTAGTAATGAGAAGGAAATCTGTGAGAGCATTTGTGTTCTGGTGTCAAAGATGAACCTAATGGTGTCAGAAGATCCATCCTTGGGCTGCCAAATGCAGGCAGGGCACAGCTCACCCACCTTCTCCACTACTCGCTGGTAGTTTTCTCCTATGTTAAGCTGAGGTCATAAAGACTGGTCCTGCCCTGCCTCATATGAAGGAGACTCAGAGAAGGTAAACGTGTATAAAATCACTCTGAAAAGTATGTCACTCTTTAAAAATCAGGGAATAATTTTTGTGACAACCTTGGATTGGTTATCTCATAGGTACAGTCAGATCTAAGAGAAGTAGGGGTTTTGAGTGATTTTCAAGGTACACATGAAGAATCAATTAACACTTACCCTGCTTAGCATCAGGCATGAGCACTGTGTAAGTATCACATCACAATATCTCTGAGTTAGGTCTGACTATGACCCTATTTTATTGGTAAGGAAACTAATGCACAGGAAGTGGCAGAACTGACTTCCGGGTTGGCAGGCTCTAACTCTGCACTTAACTGCATTTGTTTGTCACAGGTGAGGAGGAGTCATTGCTATTTAAGCATTTCAGGGTTCTTGGTTAGGCTATGGAAGAGCTGGGGCCTGGCACAACTGACTGTAACTCCTACTGATGTGGCTGTCTTCCAGAGGGCCTGAATATCTCTGCTGTTCAGACCCCAGTGATGACCTTTGGTCCATTTCAAATCCTTCTGTTTGCCTGCATATCTGGAAGTCACCTGCACAGGACCTAAGCAGGAACTGCAACATAGGGCTCTAAAGTTTTATGGGACAGAAGCCCAGGTATCCCTTCACAGTGACTCCCCTGGGGTGCAGTTCTCAGGAGGAAGGGAAAGTCTGAAAGTGCAGCAGGCTTCTGGAGCCAGGGGACACTGCTGACCTCCTTGCCCCTCTCCTGACTTTGTGTCCCAAGGCCGGCATATTTCCCTCAAAAAACTTCCTTTGACTGTACTTACACGGAAAACACTAACAGAGCCCTGCAGTTGTGTCCAAGATATTGCCATGCCAGCACCCATTGCATAGGGACTTTTGGAGAAGGCTGGGACAGCCTGAGGTCCTGGGCATAAGCCATCAAGCCAGCAAAGAGTCAAAAGTACCCATGTTTATAAATGGGTTGCCCTCCAAGACTTGGTGTGGGATATTTATTTGGAACCTGGCAGCTTTTTCTCATGGAAACAACATTAATTCCATGCTTGGGTTTCCAAGCAAGTGAAGCTTATTTGACTCAAACAGAACTCATGGTATTATGTATGGTGTTCCAACTTGGGTCCATATACTCAGTTGTACATGGTAGGGTTGGGATGAACTGTTTCCTGTATAGAAGCAGCACGGGAGAAAAAAATCCTGAGGACCTGAGTAACTGGAAACTTGGTAGGATATGAGCCAATGGTGAGACAGAGCTTCTTCCAACTGGAACCAGGGATGTCTTTGTGGGAGGAGTAATTCCTGGCACAGAAGTGTGTTCTTCTCTGGGTGCCATGTTCCATGAACATGCCTATAGTGTAGCTAGACTGTGTACTGCCAAGTCATGTAAGGACCTACTGGAGGGATTGGAGAAATTTATTCTGGAAAAGATGAGCCATAAAGTAGGATATAAAGTAGTTGAGTTTCATAGATTTAAAAGGCTCTCAAAATTGAGTGACTTAGAGTCTCAGCCTCTTTATGCTCTTAAAGATTATTGAAGATCTCAAAGAGCTTCTGTTTGTGTGGGCTTCAGTTATTTTTTTTTTTATCATTTAGAATTTAAAACTAGGAAGACTGGACACCACGTCTCAAGCACATGATGCTAGCATTCTAGAGATGGAAGCAGGAAGATTGGGAGTTTGAGGCCAGTTTGGGCTATATAGAAAGACCCTGTCTCAAAAACAAACAAACAAGGAATTTAAAACTAAGTTTTCTCTCATTCGAAACAATACTAACTAGCAATTTATTTATTAATTCACTAAAAATAATATGCCTATTATATTGTAAGAGAAGTCCTCATTTTTTAGTGAAAAATAACTGGTTTCCAGAAGAGCTCAGTGAGACAAGTGTGGAAGACTATGGGAATCTGGTAGACAATTGGTGGTTCTTGCAGTCAATTGGTTTTGAAACTTGCTTTTGTCAAAATGCATGAAGAAAATCTGTCTTCATGTAGATGTAGTTAAAAGATGACCCCCGCAGAATTTCTAAAAGGAAGGTCATGGAACCATACTTTGAGAATCACTGCTTTAGACAAATTAGGAACAATGAGCTGAAGTTCTAGGTAATTATGGGAAATTCCCTATCACTTGAAGTTATCTGGTAAAGGGGAAAAGTATCTGTCTGGCATGCCATACGGGATTCTTTTTTTTTTTGGTAGGAAATTATATAATTCTTTACAGGTCCATGAACTGATAATTTTATAACCAAGGAATTGCCTGATATACATGACAATATCTAAAGTGAGAGCTAATTGAAGGATAGATCTAAGAACCCCAATGTTCTTAGCTGCCTTTATTCAGGATGTGCAAATGTTTTCCTCCCCTGCAGGAGCCTTTATGAGGTGTCATGGCAAGTCTAGATCAGGGCTAGGAGAGTGCTTGGGAGGGTCTGAAGTGCTCAGAGCAGTTGTAGGGGTCATGGTGAGGAGAAGAGGAACAGCAGAAATGGGTATGATTTGAGGATTAAAAGGGAGCTAGGAACATCTTTCTGGTCAAAGACACCCAGTGTAATTATTTGGAACATGAAAGAGACTAGAAAAGAAGCAGAGACTCACAGAAATACAGACTTGAGGGACAATAGGGCAGAAAGCAGTGATGGAGCCAAATGCATTTGGCAGAACACAACCTTGAAATAAGCCTAAAGTGGTCAAGCAGTAAAGAATAGGAGATGGGGAATGTGCCTTGTTCCTCCTCCCCATGCATGTCTGATTCATGTGGTGTGTCTGGGCATTTGTGCTTTATCCCAGAGGCCAGCCTGGGAATGGGCCAAGTGGGTGCAGAGGGTGCTTAAGAGCAGAACCTCTTGAGGGGACATAAACTAGTAAGAATCCCTGAGTCTCTGAATTTCTCTTTTTCTCACTGAGAACAGACCAAGCAAACACATTTTCTGGAAGTTCAAAATAACTTGGTGTGTCTGCAAACTCTAGTGACCTGGAGTTGAGTTGCAGAGGCCAAGGGAGATTATGGGGGAGCTCTGTACATTCAAAGCCACAAGGCACATTTTTAGGGTTCAGGGTTGGTAAGCAGTGGACAGCTTACCCAGGCTGACATCTGTTTCTGCAGGTTTCTGAACAGCAGCTCTGGAAAAATCCTGCCTTTGAGTACCTGAGGGATTATACAGGGTCAGCTGATTCACACACAAGCAGCAACTGCTTTCTTCCCTATCTTGTCCCCTAGTGAAAGTGATCCTGGTTCAGATTTTTTTTTTTTTTCTCGAAACAGCAGAACTCTCTGTGGTAGACTGTACTTTGGGGGATTGCAGAAGAGGCAGAAATCCTGGCCAAGGGAAGAAAGGAGAGAGTGCCCTGTGACTTGGCTTTCTGAGCAGTCCCATGGGCCTGTGGAGGCCTGAGATGGTCTTGAGTCCTTGCCCTGGCCAGTGTCCTGATTCTTAAACCTTTTTGTTCAGGATAACAGAATACACACTGGCAAAGGGGCCATTGCGAAGCTCATGGAAGTAGCCAGTCCTGACCGGGGCCCCAAGGAACCCCTGCTCTGATTCTATATCAAAACTAAACAGAACCTTTGTTTCTAGGAATCTTCTAACATGTGGAGGGCAGATGACTAACGCCATTGCAGGAAAAAGACCTGAACACCTCTCCTACGCAGGCCTGGCCTCTAATCCCAGTATCCTACTATCCAGTAGGACTGGTGTGCTTCTATCCAGTCAGTCAGCTCACGGAGCAGACCCTAAACAGAATGTGCAGAAAACATCCAACTCTGCTCAATTTCCTTTTCCAATCTTTGCAGGCCTCAGAGGGTTGCTGAGAAAAGAATTTGTTGCATTTCCAATTCTAGGGCCAGACTCTTAAGGGGTGCCTGGAAGTAAAGAAGGTGAGCTTGGATGTCACAATTCAGAGATGAATTCTTGGAGGAGAGAGAATGTGTTTCTATCCCTTGTATGTTAGAAGTGCCCAAGTGCAATCAGCCCTGTCCTATCCTAAACCCCAGAGACTATCTCTTTTCAGGTTTATCAGGGCTTGGTTACAGAATCCTTAGGAATTTCCATTGCAACCTGCACAAAAGTGCCTCCAGGGAACAGATATTGGGCAAAGGCCTTCCTTCTTTAACAACTTCCTTACTTTCTTACAAGTTTCCTTACAAGCTTGTGCCCTGGAGCAATATCTTTTGTTTGCCCAACTGGTTTGATGCTCTGTTCAACTCTAAATCACATGGAAAGGATTTGGAAATAAGAACCCTGTGCAATGAAGCAGTGAGAAAGACAATTCAGGTCCTCACCTGGCTTGGCACTGGGACTGCTCCTGTTGCTTGTGTAGGTGGTGGTGGACCAGAGATCTGAAATTACATTGCACTGGTCAGAGCATGTATTTTAATCTAACTGCTCTCATTCTTTCCATGATTCAACCTAGTAAGACATTACCAAGGTTGGAACCACGTACAGCTTTGTCCTTGGGAGGTCTGAACCTGCCATGGAGCAGGCATTGAAATGAGAGTCGGGGGTGGGAGGGGAAGGATTGAGTTCCTAACACTGACTGGAAAATTCCAGGTGCCAATAGCCCTTGTATTTCACAATTCTCAAACTAAATTTTTTTTTAATTAAAGTGCCATATTTCTTCACAGTTCATTATTAAAATGATTCTTCTCAACAGTGCCACTTGTGGGGAGGTTAAAGTAATCCTTCAATAGAAATGTGACTTTGTATTTAGCAGTTTACCTAAACTGTGTTAACATGGTACTAACGCAAATAACGTTAGTTTTCAGTCATTTTAGAGGTACACAATGGGTTATCCTTAATAACTGTAAAAGAGAATTATATATGCTGCAGCACTGAATACTTATTGGGCAATTTCTCTGAAGCCAGGTTTTAAAAGATAGGAGAGAAATGGAGGATTCTGCAAAACCTCTTTTGGGAAAAAAAGAGGCCATGTAAAAGCCAGCCAAGGGAAAACACCAAGTTTCACAGAAGGGAAGAGGTAAGAGGTCATAGGAAAATATCAATTTATCTTAGAACTGGGTTTATCCATCCACAACTTTTGACTCCTTTTGTCTTTGTTCCAGTAATTTGACATGAACTCAAAGTAGCTTTATTTTCTGCTTAATTATGAAGATAATATAGGCTTTCTGTAAAAAGTAATTATATATTATGCATAGTAATAAGTCCTCTTTTATCCTCTATCCGGCAGGTCCTGGTATCCAATTTTGGTGTGTAGAGTTATATCCCTTTTTCTAGGCACACACTGTCATAACAACACACAATGACAAGAATGAGACAGAGGTCTGTGCTAATTTGAAGCCTGCTTCTTTGACTGAACGATCTGCTATAGGCCAGGCTTCTCATGTCAGCATGCCTCCTTGCCTAGCATTTTAGTGGCTCTATAATAACTTCAACCATTTTTCTAATGAAGGGTAATTAAATTGTCTAAACTTACTTTTCTATCATGAACAACAACTGCATCCATGTTCCTTTTCATCTTGGTTAATAAATTACCTTGGGATATACTCTTGCAAGTGTGAATTCTAGGTAATTTCTTCATACTCTTGGCCAAACCATGTAGTGTCATTTTGCAGTGTGAATTGGGGGAAGATGACATTTTGTTGTCTAATTTACACTTACTTGATTTCTGATGAAGTTTAACATCTTTTGAAAAATATATTTATTGGCCATGTATAGTTCAACTGTAGCTTGTTTAGCCATGACCTTTCCCCATTTTTCTTGTGGAATGCTTGTCTCTTGTAATATTGGATTTTAAGGAAAACCTTTCTCCAAACATTTTAATGAAGAAAAATGTTCACAGGTGAGTAAAATGTTAGTGAGAAGGGAAGTGGCACAGATTCCAGTTTCTCTTCCTATCCTAACTCTACTGCTTCTTCTTCCTTCCTTGTCGTGGTCAGGGGTTGAAGAGTCAGTTGAATGGTCACACCACTGCCAGGCCTTGCCACTAGGTAGCCCTCCTCTCCCCCTCTGATCTATCTGTGGTGTAGACGTAGTTAATGCTAGATCAGCTGAGGCCACCAAGGCAATTCTTGAAATGAACCTGACCAGGACAACAATGAAGAATGTAGCCACATCACCTTCTAAGCCTGTGATATATATTCAGCTGACCCTATAATTGGGCCTGGAAGGATTTCCCATCTTTTCTAGAGCCTTACTAGATATGTTTATGGATCTAGCTCTCTGGCAGTAGGTTGTAGCTTGGTGGCTGCTGGGTTCCTAGGGACACCAGTGTCATTCCTGGCCTCTCTGTGAAGAACAGCCTTACTCCTCTCCCTGTGAGAGTCTCTGTCACCCTGGTCCTTGGCGGTCTATATTGTTTGGTTGCTCTCAAGAAAGGATCAAGCTTAGAAAAACATGCGAAGGGACACCAAAGTTCGTGCAAAGAAGACATACTACCACCTTCAGGCCAATGAACAACTAAAGCCTAATCTAGAGTCAGGGCCTCCTAAGCTGAATTGATCTGCTGCAGACATCTTAGTGGGATGTGTTCACTTGCAGCCCAAGATCCTAGAGCACTGTCCGCTTTTTTTGTTTTGTTTTGCTTTTTTGCTGTTTTGAGACACAGTCTTGTTACATAGCCAAGGCTGGCCTTGACCTTGTGATCTTCCTGCCTCCATCTCCCAAGTGTTTGGATTACAGATGTGTACCACCACAGCCAGCCTACTGCCTGACACATAGTAGGAATTCAATAAATATTAAATAAATAAGTGAATTCAGATTTGCTTGAATGCCCCATCCACAACCACTTCTAGAATCTTTCAACTACAGCCACATGTATTAGAGAAAAAAACACTTCAATAAATACAACAACAAGGGCTGGCAGAGTGGCTCAAGTGGTAGAATGCCTGCCAAGCAAGTGTGAGGTCCTGAGTTCAAACCCCAGCACTGCCCCAAAATAAAAACCTATAAATACAGTAAGAGCAACTCACTTGTCTATCAGCAGTATAAGGACAACTGTTCTCTTGTCATTGGCAGAAAAATTGCAGCTCATTTGAATAAAAAAGTTCTTTATATACTAAATATTATTTAATACAGTTGGGCTAAAATATCACAGCAAATATGTATAGCCATACATTAAAAGTGTCAGTCACAGAGGTGGATTGGTGTTTACCTAGGGCTGGAAAGGGTAACTGAGGGGAAATGGTGAGTTCGTGGGAATGGAGTTTCTTTTGGCGGTGATGAAAATGTTCTAGAATTGATTGTGGTGAGGTTGTCAACTTTTTGAAAATACTAAAAACCTTGAATTATGTTCTTTAAATAGGTGAATTGTATGGTATGTGAAAGGCACCTCAATAAAACTGTGATTAATAAAGGACACACATTTAAACTCCCATTTGTACTTTTTTTCATGCCTACAGAGCATTCTTTGGGTGGGCAATGCAGTTTTTAAAAAGTAGTTTCCCTCACTCCCCAATTTGGCTGCATAGAGTCCTTGCTCCCTGGATTTGTCCAGCAGTGCGTGGGTCGCGTGGAAGCGGTTGGACCAGGATGAAGAAAGAGCACTGATGGCCTGGGAGGCTGTCGTCCAAAACCCCTGTCCCCACGCCAGGAATAATGAAGCTTTGCCAGCTTGGGAGCCACAGCTTCAAGTTTCTTCAGGTTTTCCACAAGCACAGCCCAACTAGCAACAGTGCTTCAAGCTCCCACTGTAGCCAAATAAATATGTCACATACTGAATTATCTTTGTTATGTAAGAATTGCCACCCTCTAGGAGACAGCAGGGGCAAATGATCGATTCAGATATTTGAAAGAATTAAGGAATCAAAAGGCAAGAGCTTGAAATTTTTTGAAAAAAGAAACCTGTTGGCTAGGAGACTTGTTAGTTTTGGCTATCCAGCATCCTAGACCATTTCTCTTTTGCCATCATGTATTGTGTGCCTGTGTTAATACTAACCTGAGTGAAAAAAGAATAGGATGATGGGGGAATTTTCTGATGTATCTCAAAACCTCAAAAAAGCTGGGCATGGTGGTGCATGTCTGTAATCCCAGCTACTGGGGAGGTGGAGATAGCAGGATCAAGGTAGCAGACCAGGTCAGACAAAAGTTAGTGAGATCCTGTCTCAAAAACAAGTAGGCATGGTGGCAGACACCTGTAATCCCAGCTAACTCTAGAGGGAAAGACAGAAGGATTGCTATCTGAGGCTGGCTTAGGCAAAAGCATGAGACCCTATCTAAAAGCAAAAGGACTGGGAACGTGGCTCAAGTAATAGAGAGCTTGTGTAGCAAGTGGGAGGCCTTGAGTTCAATCCCTAGTACCACCAAAAAAAAAAAAAAAAACCAAAACGCTCAAAAATGGTTTTTATGAGTCTCTGATTTGGGAACATATCACTTCTTCCCTGAGTCATCGATAAGATGGAATAGTAATAATCCCTATTTTATGGAGTTGTTGAGGACCTTAAAATAAAGCATGCAGTATGCCTGGCCCATGGCATGCATGGATTATGTGCGTCCTGACATTCACTAATTACAGAAGACGTTGGGTAGGCCTAGCACCTTCTCGTCTTGCCACTCCAGCCACACCAAGGTGTGCCTCTCCAGGTCTGTTTGTTGATGGCAAGGATTAATCTCTCTATCAAAAGGAGTCAGAGGGGGACCCACTCTGATACTTCACCTGTGTGACCTGGAACCAGTTTCCTAGCACTCTCTTCCTTGTCTCTCATCAATATGACAAATTGTTCAAATTGGAAGCAATATTACCTACTTCACAGAGCTACTGTGGACTCAATAGGCTGATAGTTGTAAATTGCTTAGAAAAGTGTCCTGCGCATCAGCAGGGTTGATTCCCCTGTGCTAATGTGAAGGGTTGGTAGATACATGGCTGGGCTCTACTAGAGGAGCGCCATGGCACATAGCAGTAATGGCTGGGAGCTGGAGGTGAGGATGAAAAGAACAAGTACCAGGTAAGAAATACTCAGAAAAATTTTCTGGGACAATAGTCCAGCTTTGGAATTTCCCATCACCCTCTTATCAGAGCATCTTTGGAATAAGACAGGTGCTTAGTAGTTCAGAATAGCAAGATGGAAGCCTGTATAGAAACTCAAGATTTTGGATTATCAGAGGAGGTCTTAAGGCCCTGTTTGATGTAATGCCAAGATTAATTCCATAAATTGGACTTTAATACAACCTAAAACATGCTTTAGGACTGGGATAAGAGTGGTCGGACAAAAAGCAATCAGGAAAGGAACATAAATTTCAACTGACTTTCCTGAAAAGACTTCTTTTGGTTTTGTTTCTAATATTTGAAGAATTCCAGGTCTGTATCATTTATCACTTAACAAACAAACAAAAGACAGACAAAAAAACCTCAAACCAAAAACCCAACAATGGTTACTATCCCTTCAGCTGAACTTTTAGAGAAATGGGATTCTGCAATGGGAAAGTTCACATAATATCCTACCTTCCAAAGTACAGTAGCAGCAATCCTACTTTGAATCTATGAGAATACAATATTGTTTGTGGTTTGTATTTGAAGTTGTTTGTTCTGAAATGTCCCCCAAGGGCTATGTGGTATAGGCTTGTTTGCCAGCTGATAGCACCATTGGGTGGTGGTGGTAGGAACTTAGGAGGTAGGGCCTAGTTGAAGGTAGTGGACCACTGAGGGCATATCCGGGGATGGTTTATCTTGCTCTTGTTCTTTCTCTCTCTCTCTCTCTCTCTCTCTCTCTTTCTCTCTCTCTCTGTCTCTCTCTTTTCCGGCTGCCATGAGGTGAGCAGCTTTCTTCCATCATACCCTTCCACCACAAAGTATTGCCTCGCCACAGAAACGGTGATGCCAAGTGACCATGGACTGAAACCTCTGAATCTGTAAGCCAAAATTAGTCTTTCCTTCTCTAAGGTGATTTTTCTAGGTATTTTGTCATAGTGACAGAAAGCTGACTAACAGCCATATAACCCTGCACAGGTCTCAGAAGCTTCCCATTCATCATCCCAGAAGGTGGGGGCTTGGCACTACATACTGATATTCAGACAGAGCCGCCAACTCTGAAGCCCCCCACATCCCACTCTTGTAGCACACAGCAAACACACTCACCCCTCTCCTGGCTCCTGTGGCCCCCAGGCTGTGGTCTGGGGCTGCTGGTAGCTGCAGCTACAAAAGGGGTTGGCTTTGGCAAGGCGGTGTGCATGGCCTCAGCTGCCAGAGCCTGCATCATGGTGACTGGCTGTGCACTTGCTCCTGGAACAGATGGATTCTCATAGGCTTTTGTGGTCTCACCTGCAAGAAAATGGAATGACATTGGGGTCTACAAAGCAGCCTGTAGACACTTAACAGGGCTACGAATGAAGTAAATGTTAATGAACATTAGCTATGAGCAGAGACCTGTGTGGTGGAGGGTGCAGGCTAGATAAACAGCTCATGATTCCTGCTTTTAAAAAGTGCCACCTTAGAGTAATAAGTCAATCAACAAACCAAAGAATAAATAACAATAATATATTTAAATGACAGTTTAAACCTATAGCAACACAGACAAGGTAGAACATGATTAGCTGCCAGATTCATTTGCTAGACCCCACAAGCAATGGTTCATGTACATGCATTCTTTTCTTTCTTTCTCTCTTGCTTTCGTTCTTTCTGTTTTCCCTCCCTCCTGCCTCCATCCTTTCCTCCCTCCTTCCCTCCTTCCTTCCTCTTTCTTTTCTATTCAATCAGCTTTGACCTGGTACTGCTGGGGCTCTCACTTAGAGAATGCATTTTAACTGTTCTAGTTTAGGGTGATTCATGGCCAGTTAACCAACTCCCCTGGGCCCCAGCTGCCTCATCTGTAAGGCGGGGCAATGGAACTAACTAGATGGAAGGATCCTCTAGATTCTTCTAAGCTGTTCTCTCCATCCCTTGGGTGATTTAGATTGCTTCCACAGTTAAACACTACTGCAGCTGCCTCCTTGCAAAGCAAGTCTCCCTCTGTGAACGCTCTGATTGCTCTGAGCCTATCTTTGAGAGCAAGTGGACCAGAGGCTACCCTCTGGGGCCTGGGGACTGTCTTGAGGACATTGGGTCTGTGCTAGAGGGAGACACACACTGCATCCCTAGATAAGCATGGGGATTGCTGCATGTGCCTCCCAGGCCCTAGTGGGGTATATCAGCTTCTATACCTGTGTGTCTCACATTCCAGGGCCGCTATAACACAGTACTATAAACTGGGTGGCTTAAAACAACAGAAATTTATTCTCTCACAGTTCTGGAGGCTAGAAGTCCAAAGTCAGAAACACTGGGCCAAATTCAAGGCGTCAGCAGTGCTGAGGGAAAGATATTTTTTTTGCCAAATCCAGTTTCACCTGGCTCTTGGCATTTCTTGGTTTGTGGCCATCTTTAAGGGGCTGGCATCCGCAAATATTTCTCTGCTCCATCTTCATGGACCTTCCTTTTTTTTTTTCAGTACTGGGACTTGAACTCAGGGTCTCACATTGGCTAGGCATGTGCTCTACCATTTGAGCCCCTCCACCAGCTTCACAGGCCTTTTTTTATGGGTGTGAAATAATCTCTCATCTGCCTCCCTTCTAAAGGGATGCATGTAATTGCATTTAGGGCCTACACAGATAATCCAGGATAATTTCCCATCTCAAGAGTCTTAATTACATTAACATCCACCCCCATACTTCCATATAAAGAACCAGTCACAGCTTCCAGTGGTTAGGATGTGGGTATTTTTGGAGGGGCATTTTTCAGCCCACCGTGGCATCCTACCTATAGCATTAACTCTTCTTAGGTTGCTGTATTTTAGGTACATGGGACAGCAGGCTGAGGGAATAGCTCCTGAGATAAGGTAGAGGTATCTTCCTCTTCAGGGGACCCATCCACCTTCTCATTTGATGTTGTACAGTACTGTACAACAAAAGTATCCTGAGAGAACAGTGTCAGAATCATAGCCCAGCAGACAAATGTGTGGTAGGGGTGTAAAGATTCACTGCCCAGCATCAGAACCTGTTCATTTCCCCACCCTGACACTGACACCCTCTGCAGGGAATCACGGCACTGACTTAGAAAGGCAGGTCATCAAAGAGTGAACTGGATTTGGGTTGGAATTCAGCCATCCGGTCTGTTCTTGCAGGCCAGTCAAGGCAGGAAGCAGGTCCCTGACAGATGGTTACCTTTAAATCTGGCTGCAGATTGGGCCTCTGGCAGTGGCCTCAGGGGTTCAGCTATCCTTAGGCAAAACCAAACCTACCTGATTTATGACATTTCCTTTACTTTAAAGGGAGAGAGTGTTCATAACAAGTTTTAGGAAAGTGCTCCTCTCTTACCCTCTGGCAAATGCTGCCAGGCACTAGTGCTTCTTTAGGGAGATGTGGGCCTAGTTTTGGTCTACTTTATCTATGGAAAAACTGCTTAACAGAATCCTTTGCATATTTTAGGAAACAGGATATACTTACTAATTTGGAGAGAAATAAGTTAATAAATTGACAGTACATTTTACTTATAGATTGTTAATTAAGCCACCTACTACTATAAAACTTCTACTAGCAAATACTGAACATTTTTGCCACCTTAAACTTATTATGCATTAAAAATATGTTTTATTGGCTAATTCCAAGGCACCTGACTACCCCAGCCTTCTCAGTTTGGTAATTCTGATTTGTTAGAAAGGAGTTAAATATCCTGAGGGCAGTTATTACATTGCTTGCTCTGGACCTGAATGCTTTCAAATACTTAGTAAATTCAACAACACAATCATCGTTCTGATCTTCCCTGGGCTGGTTTTGCCTGTTCTTCTTCACAGAATAGAACTGTCTTTAAAAGTAGAAATGAGAAAATCACTCTTCCTGCCCCAACTGTTCCCAGTTCTTTATTGAACATAACATTCTCGATCTGATCTAAAGTAAATTCTTCACAGAACCGGATTCTTTCTGAGCAATTTTAATACCAATAATACAGTTTCTTCCTGCAGTCTCTGATACCTAGAAGTTGGGTCTCTTTTCAAAGATTTTCATAGGAAAGTATTTCAAAACTTCCCTTAGGGTCTTAGAACATTACTCTTTTGGACAAGGTTAAGAAGAGTGCACACTGCCAGGTGAAGCCTCAGAGTTCCCTACACCTGGCTTTTATTAGAGTCACAGTCAAGGTGTTACTCCAGGCCCTGCTCTTGGAGATGCTGACTCACTAAATCTGAGATGGGCCCTGGAATTCTGATGTGACAACCACAGTGCTGGCCAGGTTGGATTCCTGCATTCACTCCTGGGTCTACCAGTATCAGGATTGTACAGAGGGCAGGAAAACGAATGTTCATTGAGCATCTTCTATGTGCTATCTTTTTGAAGTCCTCTTTTACATAAGCATTCACATTTAATGTTTATTACAGTCCTGAAAGTCAATTCAAGTATTCCTATTTTGGAGCTAAGGACAGATTTTCCATGAGGTCAAGAATCATGTTTAAGGTCACATGGACAATAGGTAGAAGAGCCAAGATTTGAACTGTCTTCTTATTCTTCTCCTCCTTCTTCCTCTTTCTTCTTCTCCTTCTCTTCCTCCTTTTCCTCCACTTCCTCTTTTTCCTCCTTTCTTCTTCTTCTTCCTTGGACTACGGTTTGAACTCTGGATCTTACACTTGCTAGGCGAGTACTTTACCACTTAGGCCATGCTTCCAGCTCTTTCTGCTTTGGTTATTTTTTAGATAGGGTCTCATATTTATGCACAGGCTAGCCTGGACCCCCATCCTCCTATTTACATCTCCCACATAGCTAGGATGACCAGCACAAGCCACTATGCCCAGCTTTTTATTGGTTGAGATGGGGGTCTCATAAACTTTTTGCCAGGGCTGGTCTCGAACCACAATCCTCCTGATCTCTGCCTCCTGAGTAGCTAGGATCACAGGCAGGAGTCACCATGCCTGGTTGAAGGCAAATTTTGAGTGGCTTCAGGATTCCTGAATGTGGTTCCCATTAGAGGGTGGCCCAAGGTCTCTTGAGGTTTTGCCAAACCATCTTATTCTGGAGAGAGTGAGGGAATGGCCTTGGTAAGTATGGGCAGTGAGGGCAGGAGGTTCCTGAGGAGTCCACACTCATTGCTGTAGGCTTCAGTTTTACTTTCTTCCAGGGTGGGGACCTCGGCATACAGCTAAAGGGAGGCAGAAGGGAGTTTTCCTGGTGTTCTTGCTCTGAAGCCTTTAATAAGGATTTACTGTCTCTTCTCTTGCTGTTGCTACCAAGAATGTGTCTTCCTCATTTTTTGGTGAATTTCTACGAATCAACACTTACCTGCTTTTATTTAGCTCAGAGTAGATTAAGGCTCTAGCCAAGTAACAGCTGCCAGCCTAATGGCTGCTAACTGCCCCGGGGACATTGTTTGAATCTCAGGTAATGTCTATGTTCAGTGTGAGCTGCACAAGGCAAATCAAGATGCCTTCTATTTTTCAAGTGAGATAATTTCCCACTGAAGAGACTTGTGTTGCTTTGGGGGGTCATCCTAACCTGATTTACCTGTTCACTCACATTCTTGGAGAGACTGGGGAGCATTTCTTGTGGGCTTGCTGAGACCTGAACAAAAGCTGGCTCTGCTGTCTCCAGCTCTTCTGCTTCATCCAGTTTCTGAAGGAATTTTTTCACTTAAGGAAGGAAAAGCAGCAACAAGGGGGCCACTCTTTTAAGGTTCTCACTGGAAGTTTTAATTTGAATTGGTGAAAACTCCCTCTATGTTGGGCATACAATTTTAAAGACAGAGGCTCTTCTAGCTTGAAGGTGGGCGAGTGCCCAAATATCCCTTTTATGTTGAAATGCTTATCATCTTAGCTCAAGGTCTGGCTAATAGGAGATGCCAAGTACATGGTTATTGAATGAATGAATGAATGAATGAGTGTGAATTTTCAGACTCCGAAAACTATGAGTGATCTAGGAGCTGATAGTAATATCTGCTGATGCGGTCATAAGAAGGATTGAGATGTTTGGTTAAGGGGACAAGAGGTGTCAGTAATACTTCTGTTTTAACTGTGGCTTTTAATAATTTATGGATTTACATAGCAGCAAATTTCAAAAAGGCATCGCAGCCTACCTACACTTCTGGATGCCAATGATACAAGCATAAGAAACACATGCTTGCTGGGAAGGGACAGTGTTACGTTGGCCATGGTGCCAAAGTAGGCAGAGAAGCTTTGGAAATATCTCTGCTACTGAGGATGTGGGAAGCAAATGGATTCTGTAATCTAGGTCATCGCTTGGCCATAGTTTGTCTCCCTCACCCTGCCCCCACTCCCAACATTACCTGCTTTTAGGTGATACAATCAGAGTCTGAGTCCTGAACTAGCCAGTTAGAACCACAGCCTTGGGCAACTTCCTAGACCTCTCTAAGGTCAGCTTCCTTATCTGAAGAAGGGGAATATGCTGGCATTCTGCCTCACAGTCATTGTGGTGCAGGTATTATCTGGTACTGAGAAAGCACTCAGCAGATAGCTATGGTCACAAGAGGTTGTATGGGACTCTCTTCCGTTGTCCAGAGTCAGGCTGAAAGCTGAAGTGCCCCTTTCTAAATGAAGAGAGCTGCTGTGAGCTTCGCACACATGTGGCCATTCCAGTGGAATCTGTAGTCACCAGCTCCAGTGAGCTGGCCAGTGAGCAGAAGGAAAGGACCAGAAGAAGCAAGGTATCAGGAGCTATGTTGTGGGCAGTACAGTGTTAGACATTTCCTCCCTTCCCTCATGCTTTGTCCTTCCCAAGCTGGAAGACAGCCCGGCTAGAGTCATTCATGAAGATGTGGAGCCTGCAGGAAGTGGGATGGCCACCTCATTTCCTGCCAGTCTTCCCAGGGCAGAGCATCCACAGGCCCACCTCCTGCCCTGCAGGAGCAGAGCTTACTGAGGCTTTGGGGGGAAGACACTAGTCTAGAAGTATTCTACTCCTTATGGTAAAAAGAGGGGGTCCGTAACACATGGTCCCTGAATTCAGGGGGTTGACTTGGACATGGGGACTCCCTCTGCCCTTGGGATCTCTGAGAAGTCAAGGAGATGCAGCTGGAGTGTTCCCTAGCCAGGGGCCCCCAACAGCTAAAGGTGATGTGTGATGGAAAGAGGAAGGTGCCCTCACTCCATCCCAGTGTTCTCAGATCCCAGACAGGGCTAAAGAGAACCCTAGCAGTTCCCATGACTCCATGTACAGGCTCTGCTCAGGGGGCTGCTGGGACCAAATGTGGGATGCCACATGTGAAGGGGAGAGAGAGGTGAGGGCCTAACAAGAGGCCCAGTGAACCCAGTTTTCCACACACTTCACCTATTGAGAAATCACCATATGAGCAGAGGTCACTGGGATAGATGAAACAGAAACACCAGTTGCTTTAGGAGTCCACTTTAGGAAGTTTCTGTCACCGATTCCTCTTCCTGTGTCCACCACCAAAAGGGAACTAGTGATAGCTCAGATAGCTCAGAAATAGTCCTCAAGACACGACTATCCACTGCCACTTGTGGGTGGGAATGGGACTGGCTACATCCTTGCAATGGAACAAACACATCTATATCACTGCACCAATTAAAAAGTCACTGAAGGGGACTGACAGAGTGGCTCATGTGGTAAGAGCACCTTCCTAGTAAGTGTGAAACCCTGAGTTCAAACCCCAGTGTCACACACACACACACACACACACACACACACACACACACACACAAAGTCACTGAAGATACAAGTGAGGCAGTGTCTAGGGGAAGAAAAAAAATATTCTCTATTTGTGTATCAAGGCTCATCAAATTGGAACTTTGTACACACTGTTTTTGGTTTAAGAAAACCTAGCATAGTGATTTAGAAAGATGTTTCTGGAGCCAGGATGTCTAGGTTCAACTCTCAGCTCTGCTACTTCCTAGCTGTCTGGCAAAGGGAAGTTACTCAACCTCTCTGTGCTGCAATTTCTTCACATTGTATATTAGGGCTAAGAACAGTGAGTAGGGATGGTAGCCTGGGGTGACCAACGACAAAGATCAGGTAAAAGTCTTGGGACAGCACCTGGCACGCAGCAAACACTCAGTAAATGTTAGCTCCTTTGGTATTCTCACACCATGCTCATTGCCCATCCATCCATGAACAGAACCTGAACTCAATCAACCATCCCAGCAAATTTCTGCACGCTAATCCCCAGTCCCAGTAGAAAGCAGTTCACAGCTGCTTGCTTTGACTGGGTGGGAAATCAGTGCACCTCCCAAGGCACAATCATGGACCACATAGTTCTTGATTTAACACAGAAGCCTGGAAAGAGGAATTTCTTGGCCTGAAATCTCACCGTACCCGCTTTGGTGGTTCGAATGCAAGCTGGGTCGACACAACCCTGCATTGTATTTGGCCTCGGTGATTCAGATTAGATGCTTGCTGTTATCATGTACACCACCTCGCTTTCCATGCTTCTTTTCATTTCATACCTAAGTAGATTGAGCCTTTTTCCTTTTAGTTGCCAGGGAACATTTCCAGACAGAATGTCATGTCATCTTTTGAAGTAACAACACAATAAAATCCAAGGCAACAGTCATTCTGAATGAAAATGACACAAAGAAGCAATCTCGGATTTTGAAAACAAAAACTAAAGCCTTCACTCCTCAGCCACAGCTGTCTGAGCCCATTGATTTCCGTGCCATGTTCCTGGCATCGGATGAAAGATCACCAGAGTCATTGGGGCTTGACCGCTTGAGATGTTAATTTCGACATCATCTTCTAACGCACAACATTGCCATGTTATGAAGACAGAAGGTTAGATTAAATCACACACGACCACTTGCCTGCTTTGGCAGCTGGGTTTTTGGATGATGAATATGTAAGAGCAGAGGGGTAGGTTACACCCTTTGGGGGTTTACTTTCTGCAAAAAAAAAAAAAAGAGATTTATTTGTAGGGCTAGAGGTTTTCAAGGGTGCTGTACTGATAAGTTGATTTCCTCCTTCCAATTTATCTTTCTTGAGTTCAGTATAATCCATTTCTCTTGCACTGAGCTGTTTATTACAATAAGAAGGTCAAATGGCATCTTGTTTTCCTGTATAGCCTGTGTTTTATTAATATTAGAATGTAAACTCTCCATGACTCAGAGTTGTTTAACATTAGTAACCTTGTTTCACTCATGAAGATGTGACATGTAAGCTACAGTTTTCATACATGTGGCTGTGAATGTTTCATTGTAACAGGAGGTGAATGTGAGAACGTCCACATGCTCTTATTTTAGGTGATGGAGTTCTCAGGTGACAGGTTGGCTATGTGTGGATGACCACCTCCTGCTGTTACAGATCCTGCAGGATCCATTTGAATTCCAGGACAGTAGAGGAACCTGCAAGGAGGTAAATACAGAGCAGCCTTGAAAATAACGATTTGTTGCCCACCTAGGAAGAGTGGCAATGTCTAACAGGGAAACAATGGAAGCATAAAAAAAAGGATGCCTGGGTAGCAGGCATCAAGCCTGGGGTTACTGAAGATTTCTTAAGGATGCTGTTGCCTACCAAAGTTGTCTTCTGACCTTGAAGAGATGCCTGGCATTCCACCGTGGAGCTTTGGTCTACAATTAAGCTGAAAGTGCCAGTGGAATGCAGTATGCTCCTCCCTCCCCAGGGCAAGTAATTTGTCTGAATTGAATTCCCTGCACCTCAAACAGTGTCTAGCTATGCCATAGGGGCTCAGAAAGTAGTTATTCCTTAATGCCAGGGTCTCTGTGAGAATCCACATAACCTGGAGAGGGGTGGCTCTTCTTATCGATCTTATATAGAATAATGAAAGCATTTCAGCACTCAGTCTGAGTGAATTCTTTTAGAGGATGGTAAAGGGTGTTGCATGGAGAGCAGAGGGGTGGGACAGGATCTAGTCCATGACTGTGCCAGATGTCCTGTTGGCCCAAGGGACTGTAGGGTCTCAAGAAGGGCCGGGGATTGGGAATAAGAAAAGCTGGGCTTCTGTTTCTATTTCACCTCTTTAAATTAATTTACTAATTAATTGTGTGTGTGGTGCTGAGGATCAAACCCAGGGCCTTGCACATGCTAGGCAAGTGCTCTACACTGAGCTACCCACAGAGCTACCCACCCTTCTAGCCCTTATTTTACCTTTAATTATCGGCCACAATTTCCAAGAGTCCCATTTTTGTTTCATTCAGAAAATGTGAATGTTGATATGGCCCCTACTTACTACACAAAATTGTAGGGATCTAATGAAAAAAAGTTCAAATGTTTTTGAAATATTCATCACAAAATTTGCAAAAATTTATTCTGGTATTACCTACAAATGCCACTGAAAGGCAAAATGAGGCAAATGCTCGGGCTTGCTGATGGTAGTTACTTCACCTAGCTAAAATCACCTGGGGGACAAAACTCAGCATTTCCAAGTCCTCTGCCAGATCCAGGACTGCTTCAAACAGACCCTGTGAGGAGTCCCAGCCTGTGGGCTACACTTTGTCAACAGAAAGTAAGGCAGAGACATGTCTCCTTCCATTTACTGTTCTCACAACTAAAGAAAGTGGTGGGGTTTATTTGTTTCTGTTTAGAAGGCAAAGGAGCATCAACTCAGCTTTCTGAAACAAAGAACAATTGGGCAGTACTAGGTGGTCCCTCACTGACCTCTCACATCCCTGGACTGTCCAAGATCATGCTGATCCAAAATGCAAGCTCCTCTCTCCCTCACACTCTCCCAGCTCGCCAAGGCAAATTAGTCAAAGGAGCTCAATGACCTGTAAGAAGGCCATAGAGGTATCTGAGCCTTCCAAGGACCATTCTGATTCAGTTAAGCTTGTTAGCCATGAACCACTATGGGGTGATCCTTGGCCTTCTGTAGCAGTATGCTGCCTAACTCATCCATTCTAAAGAGGTTTCTTAGCCATAGCACAAGCACAAATGCTTATCATCATTGGTAAAAAGGGATTTTTGTTAAATGTCATGAGGTGGAATGAGGGGAGGTAGAAGTTGAGATTTATAGGGAATAATTTCAGCAAATTGATTTTTATTTAATAAATACACAAATCTTTCTACTCTCATGGAGTTTTAAGTTTTCTTTTAAACTTGTGGTGGGATTCATAGATCACAACCTTAGCTGGTAAGTTTGGAATGCTCTTATTTAGCCAAGAGTTTCTTGGTAAACACCTGTTTGGGGTTTACTCACTGTCTCAACTCATGCCTATAATCCTAGCTAGTTGGAAGGCTAAGTTCAGGAGGATTGTGGTTTGAGGCCAGTCCAGGAAAATACTTCACAAGAGCCTATCTCCAAAATAAGCAAAGCAAAATGGACAGAAGATGTGTCTCAAGCATCTGCTTTGCAAGCTGAAAGCCCCAAGTCCAAACCCCAGTCCCACCAGAAAAAAAAAAAAAAAAAAAGAACCAGTCTAATTTGAACCCTAGGTGTGCAGAACTTGGAAGGCAAAAGGAAACAGGGATTTTTCAATTTGAAGAAAATCCTAAAAGGTATCTCTGATAGATGGAGGATAGTAGGGAATGGGGCATGGGATGCCTAATGGTGTCAGAAACCACCCTGCCTGGAAGATCTACTATATTAGCTGACATTTCTCTTCTCTGCTTCAGTTGACTTTCTATAGGTGGCTCCTCAGGGCAATCCCATGACATATAATCTCACTGGGAGGCCAGGAAGTTTTGCTAGAATCCAGTACAAAATCTCATGGAGTCTCCTTTAGAGAAGATTCAGGTCCTGAGCAATGGATGTTTCAGGTAAGCGCATGGTGTTGTGTTTAAACACAAAGGTGGGCATGCCACAGGCCTGAAGAGCTCCCACTGGCCAATCTCAGTATGTTTGAACACCAAAAAGGATAATGTCGATAACTGATTTTACAAAACAAAACATGAGTCCATAGTCCACATTAAACAAAAGCAGAGAGGGGAAAGAAAATGCTTATTTATACAATAATTCAAACTACTCAATGTCCAGGGAATTACCATATTAGGATCAATTATAATTGTGCATTTATAGTTGGCTCTGTATCTAGGGTTTCAAATCTGTGGATTCGACTAACCTCCAATAAAAATATTTGGAAAAATTGTAGTGAACGTGGATATTGTTTTCTTATCGTCATTTCCTAAACAATACAAGATAACAACTGTTTACGCAGCATTTACATTGTATCAGGTACTACGAGTAATCTAGAGGTGAAACAAAGAACATGAAAAGATATGCATAGGGACAAGGTTGTAGATATGGGGTACATTTCACCTAACTAAAGGACTAGTTAAGAAAACCCAAGTTATAAATGCAGTTTACTTTATTAAAAGTTTGATTGGACTGACAGATAGCTATGGTGTATTTAAAATGAACAATTGGTGTTTTTAGTATTTCCAGACTTGACTTTGTAGTGATTAACCAAGTAATTGTAATTCATTACATCTCATGATCCTAATTATTAGAAGCATTAATTCTTCAGATTTTTATGGAACACAGAGGCCCATAGACTAATAGCAACTGAAAAAAGAGCATCTTTCATCCTGGGAGATCATTCCTAGTACATATGGGTAGCAGTGTTTCTCCACTGTGTACCTGAGACAATGAAGGACTCTCTCCATCGTGGCAGGGATAAGGACTGGACACCATTGGAGTAACTCCCTCTGTAACCAGACTGTCCAGCAACCTTCCGAACAAGTATGTCTCCTCCTGAGTTATCAAGCACACCACTATGAAAAGAAAAAAAAGTTGAAGAAAGTACAGAAATATTGTCTAATGTCAATGCACTATCAAACCAGCCTCCATCTTTATTAAAACACTGGTTAAGAAAAAAGCTTACCTTGACCTGAAGCCTAGCCTTCAAGAATGCCCCTCATCACTCAGTCTGGCTTCTGACCTTCCAGGAGGTCAAATGTCCTTTTGTTTCTTATGGTAACCTGATTGTTCTGTCAGTCAGGAATTCCTCTTTGTCACTATGCCTCAAATTTCTTTTTCTTGTTTCATTCTTTTCTTTTTCTTTTCATTCCTACTGCTTTCTTCTCTTCTTATTTATTTTTTTGACAAGGTCTCTCTATGTTGCCCAAACTGCCCTTGAACTCCTGGGCTCAAACAATCCTCCTGCCTCAGTTTCCCGAATACTGAGGCAGCAGGCGTACACCCCCCACACCTGGCTTCCCACTGTTTTTGTGTTATGTGTGTGTGTGTGTGTGTGTGTGTGTGTGTGCTGCTGGGGTTTGAACTCAGGGCCTCACACTTGCTAGGTAGGTGCTGTACCATTTGAGCCACTCTGCCAGCCCTCCCACTGGTTCTTTAAAGAATACTTTGTTCCTGACAATTTCCAATTTGACTTTATGATATCACAGAATTAATCTAGTTATTTCAAAGAGTGGTATGAAATTATTAAAAGTAAATCATTCCTTTTCTTTGGGACTGGAGAGGGTGGATGTGCGGCTAAAATAAGCACATTAAAAAGAGTCTTCAGGGCAGAGAATATGGTAGGCTAGTGGTAGAGCACTTGCCTAGCATGTGTGAGACCCTGGGTTTAATCCCCAGCACTGCAATAAGACAAAAAAAAAAAAAAAAGAGGAACCCCCAAAGACTGGGAATTGTTTCTTTAATTTCTTAAAATTCACCAGGTGATAGATCTGATGTAATAGTGACTAACATATCTATGCTTTTCCTTCCCTGTCAAGGATGATTTCCATTCTGGTTCCTAAATAGCACTTTTACACAGTCTTTTCTTTTCCTCAGAGTCCAACATGACACCTTTGGCTATCTGTAATTTATGGCACAAGGATAAAAATGCATGTCAATTTGTTCTCAGCAATACCTGTCCTTTCATCCAGGAATGAGACTTATTATTTCCTGTCCTCCTATCTTCATAGTGAGTGAACAACTTTCAACACTCATCTTCCCAAGGGCCCAGAAGGGAAGAAAGTGATAATGTTACTTGACATGCAAAGCATTTAATGGCTTTAAAATTTTCTCACATACCATGTTTCACTGGGTCCTCCCAGCAAACCTGAGTTGTAGAATGGAGGGCATGCTGTCATTCCCTTCCTCAGAGTCAGCCTGTTCCTGTGAGTGACTCTCTCAAGAATTTATAGTGAGTAATTGCAAAAGGGATTTGAATCTAGGTTTCACTGGCCTCAAATCTTGGACTTATCCCTTTTGGGATAATGCACAGGCATTTGCCACTCTAACTCCCAGCAGTCTTTACTGCTGTCTCTCCACCATGAGGTTACTGCTCTTGTCCAATTGCAGTCAGGCTAGTCTTGGCTCATTTGGCTCTTTGAGCGTGTCGCTGCTTCCTCTGAGCGCATTGGTTTCTAATACCTCCTTCCCCACAGAGAGCCCGACTCTACCTTACAGCCTCCTCAGAATCTTGTTCTCACCACTTGGACTCTCATTTTGTTCTGTCTCGTACTGCTTTCTAAAGCTTTCCAGAATTAACTTTCTGGCTTATTTAGATGGGAAATTTTCTTAGGGAAGGGATAGCATTGTATGCTTCCATGTAAGAAAGCCTATCAGTGGTGGGGCACCAATTCTTCCAACTTTTGGGAGCCAATAATTAAGTTTTTGGATTTTGACACCTGATTGACATTTATAGTTTGAAGTCAACCATGGTGGGAGTATTTTTACATGAAAATTGGCAAATCAGACCCGTTCCCTCCTTGCCCCTTATTTTGCAGAGCTGGTGTTTACTAGCACACCAGTGGCTCTGGCTGAAAATTGTAATTATTAAAAATAAAAATTACTTATGATTAATGAAGAAAATGGAAATAACATTTACTCCCTTTTCCTGCTAGAGATATTATTCTGCCCATGGGTTTATATTCCACTGTACTGTGAACTGCTGTTTGAGGAACTGGGTGCTGTGCTCATGATATTGTTTGAGACTCAAAAGCCCTGTAGCTGTGACATCCCTTGTGAGGGTTATGCAAGACTGAAAACCCAGACATTGGGACTACTGAGTTCTCATGAGAGTTTCCTGTTGGGGGTTAACTGGGGGAAGTGGAAATTTCCAGTGCAGGAAGACTAATTTTCTAATATTCATACTCTGCAGGAGGAGGGAGAGCGCTGTGGCTTCACTAATGAGGCAGACTCAAAACTATGGCCATTGGACTTCTCCAGTGTTTTGTTGGGTTACTTGTCCTCATTTGTATCCCCGTTCTCTGAGAGAGCAGCACAAGTTCCACTTCTTGGTTCCCTAGGCCTCTGCATGGTGCTGAGCATGGCCTGTGTTCCCCTCCTTCCCTGGCACCGTGGGTCTGGGATAAGCCCAGGGTTACTTCCCTGGCTCAGGGAGAAGGGACAGTAAACCACGGGGCCAACTTTTGAATGGCTACTGTTCTCAGGTGGGCATCCGGTCAGAATCGGTTAGAAGAGTGCTCTGCACAGAGATGGGCTCTTCGTCGTTCCATCTCAGAGAAATCTCTCTTCTGCCCAGCACTTGGCCTCATTTTAAACACAGGCATTAATTTAAGATAAGACTGAGCCAAAAGCGACGTGCAAACCATGTCCATATCCCCTTGGCTTAGTGGAATCAAGGCGATAGCTTGTAAGATGACATCCAAATGTAATATAGTATGTGAATATTAAACCTTTTAATTCAAATTAACCTTTAAATCCAAACCAAAGTATGTTCTCTTCCATCTCTCAGGAGGTGGGACATTCTGTCAGGACAGTGATTATTGGTCCCCAATTCATTTTTTCACTCATGTTCTCTATGTTGTAAATCCTGTCTTCTGAAAACAGACTTGCTCTGTTTGTGAAAAACAAAGCTAATAGCACTCCAAATTCCTGTTTTCCCTTAAGATTTCTATTCATCGTCTCCACAGATAATGACACTTCTTTCCAAAGAGTTTGTCCACTCTCTCGATCACTAGTCCAAGAAGTCACAATGGCAATTGGTCAAGCAGCCAATCTTGCTTTTAAAGTTTTCAAGCTCTGCCCACTCTACGCCCCCCACCCTGCCCCATCTATATCCTCCCCACTGAGTTCTTAAACTCCAGCCAACATGCTGGGATGGCAGACCTCTGGTCCTGTGAATGCTCATCTTATTTTTCTCCCAGGGGAGACTCCATCCTTCATAAACCCTTTTCTAACTCTGACTCCTATAAAGTCTAGTCTACATCTCCTTCTAGTCCTTACTTCGTCCACTAAGGTTCTGGACCTCTCTAGTTCTTGTGTAAATGTGTCACTTGGGCTCTGATCTGGAAGTCAGGGGACATAAGCCTTCTAATCTTCAATCTGCAACTAACCAGCAATTTAAGTAACTTCATTATGCCTACGTTCCTCTTTCACCAAATGGGGGTGCTAGCAGTAGCCTCGTAGGATTGAAATGAAGTTAGAAGGAAGCATTATAGCGTAAGAGATTACTTGTCATTTCTACAACATCTTTGGTGAGGGCAAATTTATCTTGTGACTCTCTTCTGCTTAAGAAACATAGAAGGGCAGGAGAGAGCAGGAAGTGCCAGAGGAAGCAAGGTGTCAACTATCTAGGGTCACAACTGGACTGGAGAGTGCTGGCAGTGCTGATGGGCTGTATGGGTGTGCACATGTGTGAAAGGTGTGCACATACATCAGTATGTGTCAGAGGCATGCAGGAGAGTGCCAGCATATGGGTGGAGACATGCATGTGCCACAAATAACCATGTGAGAGCATGCACATGTGTGTCTGTGCACATGTATGTGGGCAGACTTGCATACCTCTTTCCCTTTTGCATGAAATTGATTTCAGGGTAAAAGCACACTATTTTTATTCTAGTTAAGCAACAGCACTGGGTGATGTTTTTCTTTAATATTCTACTCCTTATTCTCAAAGGAGCTTTTGCAGGCTGCCCTCCTTGAAACACCAGTTGGCTTACCACTCCTCTGCAATAGGAGGGAAAAGAGAAGCATGCCTGGTAAAATCTACTAGAAATTTTTTCAATTATTTCTTACACATTTTTTTCTGTTTCCCTCAAATTTCAGAACCTCTGTTGATTAGTCACCTTGAAAGGGAATGAATCATCTCTTCTCTCTCTGAAGGGATTTGACTGCACAACCAACTGGCTGATGTGCAAATGAAGAAAAAAAAATGGTGCTAGAAGCCCAAATAATTTAGAGATGTCATCCAGTAGCTGAGCACTGACTTGGGAGCCATGTCCAGAGCCACGCTGGCGCAGTTAGGAGTCAGACCCTGAAGTCGGCTGGACCTGGGTTCCAGTCCCCACTCTGACAAGGTGTGGATTAGAAAAGCCGTTCAGTCTGTCTTCATCTTTATGATGAACATAACAGAGGCCCACACAACATGGGGGATTCCCATGAAGAGTAAGAGAGACATCAAGGTGGAGTGTTGGGTACATTTGCCTTGGCCTCACCACCAATGATTAAGGAACATGCATTTCTCTGGGTTTTGACTCCAAACTTAAGGAAAAGAGGGCAAAGGATTATGCAAAGGTCACCTTTTTCTTTGCTTCCCCCGTGGCTCAAGTTCCTTTTTGCTTTAGGGTAGGGCTTTTTATTTTTGCCCAGAGCTGGCCTTGTACTTGATTCTCCTACCTATGCCTTCCATGTAGCTGGCATTATAAGTGTATCATCACGTCTGGCTTGTTGATTGAGATGGGGGTCTCACTGTTTTTTTCTTAGGCTGGCCTCCATCTGTAATCCTTCTGATCTCCACCTCCTGTGTAGCTGGGATGAAATACCCTGCCAAGCCCTAAAAGTCACTTTTGCTCTCTTCCTTTAGGCAGTGACTTAGACCAAAGTATGCCATGCCTCCTGTCCTTTCTGGATCCTAACCGACAGCTGGCCAAGTGGTGGTACCACCTGTCACTGTCCTTACTGTTCTTTGTGTGTGTGTGTGTGTGTGTGTGTGTGTGGTACTGGGGTTTGAACTCAGCGCTTACAGGTTGAGCCACTCCACCAGCCCTTTTTTTGTGAAGGATTTTCTCGAGATAGGGTCTCATGAACTATTTGCCAGGGCTGACATCGAACTGCGATCCTCTTGATCTCTGCCCCCTAAGTAGCTAGGATTATAGGCAGGAGCCACCGGCCCCAGCTCTCCTCACTGTTCTTATTCTCCTTTGTCTCCAGGCCTCATCATAGCTGTGATAATTTTTCCTCCAAACTCCAGGACATTCTTTGGCTGTATTCCTATCATTTTCTCGCTCAGCACATTCACATAGAAAAATAATGCTATATATCATTGAGAGTGTGGTTTCCTTGTCACCACCACTAAAGAGGAGACTTCTACCCTCCCATCAGGACGTAAAAGAAGTCAGTCATCCTTTCTAAGAGGGCTATGAAAGGAAACACAGGGCCGTGCATGGCTGACATCTGGGTTATCCCTTTGGGATAAAGTTGCAGAAGGCTCAGCTAAATTTGTACTCTTTTGCTTGCTGATTACAGCAACCCCTCACCAGGGTCTCGAGAGAGACATCTCAACTGCTATTATTAAGTAGCTCAGAGCCACCCACCTGTGCACCGCAGCGCTGCACACGCTGGAGTACGACGCATAAACACCAGTGCCATAAACGTGGTATTTGGGGTCTTGGCATCCAGGTGGGCATTTCACAATGAACTCAGGATTGATTATCTTTCCTGCTTTGATATCACAGTTGATCTGAGGCACAGCTGGGAATACAAAATGAGGTCAAAATTATCCCATGTGGTGTTGACTTACATCGGAGGTGACTCCATCAGGTCACAAAAGTGTTCATTTACTAAATCTTTAAAAGTCAGAGCCTTTGCTGACCCTGAGTGCCTTCCATGTAACAAAGGCAAAGATGTAACTAGGACATTCCTCTCACAAAAAGAACAATGACCACCCATTTGCATTTAACCCGCTGGAAGCAAAAACAAAAGGCTGATTCCTGTGCTTATTTGGACAATTAATTAATTGAAGAGGGAAATTCAAGGAAAAGACTCATCTCTAGTGATCAGAAATATAATCTTGAGTCAATGGCAGGAAGGTGCTGGTTTTTTAGGTGCTCTGTGGCTTACCCAGAAAGAAGAAACTCAGACAACCTTGCAGTTGGAAGGAAGGGTATCCTGGAAGGGCAAACGAGGGGAGTAAGGGCCTTAGCATCAGGGTGACTGGCACAAAGGCATGAGCTGGGCTCACTGGGGCCTGGTGGGAGGGAGGGAGGTTGGCTGGACAGGGCCAGGGTCAGTTTCCTTGAGCACTTGTGTCCTGTGCAGGAAGTGGGACACAGTGGAAGACTTTTGGATGGTGGGGGGGGACATAATAAAAGTGACATTTTGTTTTCATTCTAGAGGATCCTCTAGGCCTAGATGTTGGGTGATGACAGGAGCCATCTTTCCTCATCTGCCTCAACACTTTGTGGAGAGCCGAGAACACCCCTGTGTAGCAATCCAGGGAAAGACATCCATCCATTCTTTTCTCCTTCCTTCTCTTCTTTGTCGTAGCTGTTGAAGCCTAGTTCTATGCAATAGGTAAGCCTTCTAGAGCTGAAAGCTTGGTGAACATGGTCTACTGACAATATCTAAAAAAGGGCGCTCCATCTTCCCTGCAAATATTTTCCCACAGAAAGGAAAAATCCCAGCTCAGGTGCTGGTAGTGTGCCTGTAATCCCAGAATTTAGGCGATTGAAGCAAGAGGCTCAAAAATTCAAGGTCAGCCTGAGCTATACAGCAAAAACTTGTATAAGAAAGAAAAGAAAGAAAAAGAAAGGCTGTCTTACATGACACTGTAGCTGGGAATATATTCCATTTTGGTCCAGTTCTTCAGAGGGGACTGTGAAACATGAGCACAGTTCGGAGCGAGCAGGCTCAGGAGGGGGGCTGGAAACCACTAAATGGATGTCATGGTTGGTAGACATGAGAAGGCAAGAATTTGGAGGCAAGTGGCAGTTGTCTTTAAAAGGAGGACTGTAGTGGAGTGTGACTCCAGGGGGCTGAGCTAGAACTTTAAGGGTAAACTTTCCATAAGAAGCAAATTTTTGCCAAGAACTTTCTAGGAATTGATGTTGCCTTTGTAGGAAGGGCTGTGTCATGGAGCAGTGAATGGGTTTTGGTGAAAGTAAGTAAGCAGAATGGTTGAAGAGGGGATTTCTAACTGGGCGGGAGGTGGAATAAAAACCCTCCCAGTGCTAAGAGTCTGTGATTACACACATGGGTCCAGGAGCTCTGCCAGGCCACCCACCCTCTAACTGAGTTACCAAGATGGTCTCAGAGTTGTTAATGGCTTCCAGCTGTATCCAAAATGCATGCTTTCTCTCTCTTTTTAACCCATACATACCCAAATGAGTAGAATTATACTTTATTCAGGCTGGAAAGAGAATGGGAGTTAGAACTCTTGCTCTTTCCTTGCAAACCCCTCCCAGAGAAGCCTGGTCACTCGGGGCTCGGCCAGCATGGCACGCCTCCTGGGAGCAGGGGCTGAGTTTGGTCATAGGCTTAAGCAATTTGTGGTCTACATTAAGAAGCAGAGTAAAACTGCTTCATTCTCCTCACCAAAGTTTGCCTCTACAAAGTTATTTCCTTTTACCTTTTGTTCTTTTGAACTCTGATACCCAAGGCTGCTTTTACTATCTTGTGTCTTGGAGTTTATTTTTTTAAAGGTAATTTTTGGGCTAAGGATGTCAGTGTTATCTCTCCTCAGATTAGCTACCTACTTGATCCTCAAGTGTAAATGTGTTCAATTCTTTCCTCTACAAGTCACTTGAGCACTCGCAAATGCATTCCTTCTCTTAGATGTAAAGAACACAAAAGACTTTGTGTTGGTTCATAATTCTTTGAACTAGGAGATGGCAAACTCTTTGAACTGGGATTAAATTTTGATGAGACTTTGACATTCTGAGATTTTTGGATCTCCTGGCAGGCCAATCAAATCTTTGGGGTTGAACAAAGGAAGCTAACCCTGGAAGCTTATTGCATGAGTATTCGGGGTGTACACAGTACACGCTGTAGGACTTTTCATCAGATAGCTGGCTTAAAAGACAAAGGAAAAAATGCCACATGGGAATGTTTTTGCATCCTGCTGATCAAGCCCCCCCTTTCATTGAGCTTTGAGGGATGTTTGTTTTTTGTTTACTCGTTTTTTTTTTTTTTTACAAAGGCCTAGGAAATATTTCAAATATGGTTTGCTTTATCTGCACCCAACAGATTAGATTAGCAAAATTGGTGGATGAACTCATTCATTAATTCACCCCAGGGGGTGAAACAGATGAAACCAAGTACATATGTTCATGCACTCTGGAAAAATAAGGAGCCCTGGCAAAGTTGGCCAGAGGTCACGTATTTGTTAAATTTGTACAGACAACTAAGCTGGAGAGAGTGAACTAATTACATTTTGCAGAGTAATTGCCAAAATCACTGCAAAATGTAGTCTATGTCCAGCCAGGGAAAAGCAAGCCAATTGTATCTTTCTGGCAGCAATTCTTTAAATATATGAAAAGCAAGGTTTATTTGTTATTTGTGAAGTCGTTTGTTTTCTTGTGACCATCAAAGAATCTTCCATAGCTCATTTCAGGCTCAGATGAAATAATTTGTCTTTTCATTTCTTTGGATGTTTTTGAACTATTCAATGCTTGCAGGTTATTCTTTCAAGTTCATTTTGTATATTCCACCCCCTTTCTCTGAATTTTATACAGAAACCAGATTTCTTTAAGAGGACAAATCAAAAGTAAGGCAATCCCTGGCCTTTGGAGAATCATTCTCAGCTGTGACAGGAGTGGCAAACATTCTGAAGAGAAAGCTGCATCTTCACTGTTAATCTCAGGTAAGAACTTATTTGTAAGTTCTAGAAAGAACATTGTGAGAAAAAGCAAGACAAAAGGCTTTTCTAATCATTCCCAAGTAGACAGTTGCTGGTGGCAGTGAGGAAAACCCCAGACTTCTTCAGTGGAACCTTTGTCTAGAAGCCTGGGACTGGCTAGCTATCTGCTCTGCTTTTCCTATTGTGCCCTCAACTGCTCCTCCAATAGTTTCTTAAGTTACCTTCCTTTTTTATAGGTACTACTGCCACTTTCACACCAGAGTGCCTCAGTATCTGCCAAGGAAGTATTCCTTCTGAGAGATCCTGGAAGTCAGCCACAGGCAAGAGAGGAATCACTTGCATAACAGAATGGTTAGAACTAGAGGTCATCTTAGACCCTGGTTTCTGCCACACATGCACCAGTTATATTGATCTCAAAGACCCCCATCTCAGAATAGAAAACTGAGACTCTGAGACACTATTTTAATGCACAGTTGGAATCTCAAAGGCAGAACTGCAAATGTTTCTGCTATGAGTTGGGCCTCCCGCCTAGGCTAATAATAGTGATTGTTGGGAGATGCCACACACTACGTGCCAGGTTTGTAGCAAGGCAAATCAAACAGTATCTGCTTCTTATTTTGCCATTCATCTTTTCAATGATCCCAGGAAGCCACATTGCTTCTGGGAAAACTTTTTCTTATTAATTAGAGAGAGGCTTTGTAAGCTTGCCTCGTGGCTGTTAATGAGGAAGAATTATTATAAGGTAAAAGCACTTGTGCATGAAAAGTTTTGATATTAAGCTTGATTTTATTGTACTGTGATATTCAACTAGTGTAAAAATCATACTTTTAAGAAAATTATGCAAAAAGTTACTAGCTTAATGAGATTAAATGATCATTATTTTGAAGACAAATGTTTCCTTCTTGGTTCTGACATCCAGTGAACAGGTCATGCTAATTCTCTTCCTTCTTTTTCATTTTCTTAACTTTTTTTTTAAGTGCTGGAGTTTGAACTCAGAGCCCCATGCCTGTTAGTCAAGTGCTCTACCACTTGAGCCATTCTTCCATCCCTCTTTTTCATTTTTCTTAAACAGTCTTTCATCATGTTGAGTCTTTGCTCAAAACTCATCAATAGCTTTTTGTTGCCATTAGGAAAAGTTAAAAAATCCTAAGGCCTCTCCATAGTCCCTTCTATAGAACTTCAGGGCTTGCCAAAACAGTCCCTGCTATTTCCTAAATGCATGTTGTCTTGAAACTTGGCTTGAATCTCTCTCATATCTGGAACGCTTCTTCTTCCTATCTGTTTAAATGCAGCTAGCTTTTCAAGATCCAACTTGGAGTTCCATTTTCATTTGGTAACTAGAATGTAAACACGAGGGCAGAGATTTGTGTCTATTTTGTCACTGATGTTCAGTAGAATGCTGAATGAATGAAGGATTGAATGAAACCAATCCATTAGGAAAACCCTGTTGTTTTTGTTTCTAAATTGGCTATTTCTCTCTACCTCCATCTTTGTCCAGGTCACTGAAATTTCATGTCTGAACACAATAGCCACCTGGTTTGACTTCTTCCTTCCATGCTTGTCTATACTTTGCCTCAATCCTTTCTCAATAAAATAGCAGGTTTGATGATTTTTTAAAAATATAATCAGATTTCATCTGATTTGAGTGGATTTCTCCACTCAAAATTCCTCATTGACTTCCTACTACCCTTAAAAACACGTCCAAATTCCCTAAACGGTCTACAAGACCTTCATGGCATTTGCCCATGTGCTCTCCTCTACTTAACATCTGCCAGTGTTTCATGGATGATAACAAGGTACTAGTCACCAAAGGCCTGGGAGAAGGAAGAATAAGGTAAACAACAACAACAAAAACCTTGATGTAGGAATGGGCTTGGTGGTTTGAAGAACAAAA